GCCATCATTGGATAGAGCGAAGAAAACTGCGTCTAATGGACACGAAGATTTGACCGGTTTTGGCGAGTTTTGTTACCGAAAAACTACAGCCTTTGTAGGAGGTGTATATAGTCAAATCCAAGTCAAACCCAAATCTAGTCAAATCCAAACCCAAATCCAAATCCAAATCCAAGTCAAATCCAGTCAAACCCAAAACCAAATCTAGTCAAACCCAGTCAAACCCAAACAAAAAATTGGATTTGGGTTTGATTGAATTTGGATTTTGTGCATGCCTAAAAATTACCCAAGACATTTCATTAGATATTTTAATTTAAAAGAAAGATCATCTCTAGTTGAAATGAAGTTTAGAAGAATTCTGAACAAAAAGAAAAAAGAAACCAACAAGCTTTTCTCAACGATAATAAAAGTGAGTAGCCCTTCTATAACATGAAGAAGGATATCGAGTTTGAAAGACTGAAAAACTTTTTCTTTGAGTATAATTAGATATGTCACGTGTAAAATCTAAATATCAAAGAAACTCTTTTCTTCATTTTTATTCGAAAATGTTAAGTAAGTATAGGAATATAGGACAAGAAAGCAAAACAAAAGTAATATAGTATATACATGGATCGCTGTTCATATAGACAAGGTTCAATGGAATTTTTTCTCCTTTATAATAACAAGATTTCTGTCACACTTTTCTAGATATTAGGAGTCAAAAATGTTTTTGTCACACTTTTTTTACCAAGATTACTTTTAAACGAATGATCAGTTTAATGGATATAATTAGCAAGTTATTAAATACAACATACATTAATAAAGAAAATTGAGATCTTTCCAATTACAAAAGAAAAATTTGTTCCTATAAATTATAATTCAAAATAATAAGAATAAATTAAAATAAACAAAACAAACACTGAATAAATAAATAAGAGCAAAAAAAATTGAATTATTTTCCTATGAACGACAAGGTAAACAGTGATCCTCTACTTCCTTTTTTTCCCAACAATTTCTACTCTATTGCATACTCGTGTTCATTTTCATCATTTCAAATCAATAAACATCTCAAGTATATCTCTGCATTTATTGATAGTTCTAAAACAACAGATCAACCCTTCTATTTTCATTGTATTCTTTCTAATTGAATACTCTTTCAACGATTATTATTGCTATTTACTAAAGATTTGGAGCAGTTTAGTATAATATTTAGATACTTTTTTTGGATATACCTTATGATGGATGTGGGTGTATGAGTATGGGTACAGTCTTCTGTTTACAGACTTAGACCTACCCCCACTCCTAACCATGAAATGCGTATATATTTATTTTTTATTGTGCTAGATTTTTGTATCCAATTTAACACATGATCATAAACACTTTTTTATGAAATATTTTACGAATTATACAATCAAGTAATCATTTCTAATATGAATTACATTTCGACTTGAATAACATTTTTTCTCAATGTTCATTCATCAATTAAAACCTTCTCTGGAATCAAACAAAGATGAGCAAGTTTTTTCGCTGCACTCAAACCATATGTTGATTCCAGTTTTCTCGTCATCAGAGAAACTTAAGTGCGTCTTACAAATAATTTACATAAATCTGTTTCTTTAGTTTCACTCTCTAATCCTTTGTTAAAGATTATATGGTTGATCTTTTTGTCTAATAATCAACAGAAATAATTTTATTTTATAGTCATCAGAAAAATACTAGCAAATGAACACAATCAACTGAAAACAAACAAGTGATCTTGTGAATATGAAATCGTTCGAAGTCTTCTGTTGACTAATGTTTTGGTCTTGGTATTTCAGCATATGTTATATCGCAAAAAACAATGGATTGCACTAAACCATTGAGATCTGAAGCACCGTTACAAAAATTTTTACCAGATTGAACATGATCAAATCTAAAAGAAGCTCTTTTATAATGAATCAATTCACTATCTGAAAACATACTTAATGACAAAATCCAGATATCCATTATTGACAGTAGATGCAGAAAATTCAATCTTTATGATGTTTCCATATGATTTTCCCAATGTACTAAGATAATCGGCAACTTCTACAAAGTTGACAAAAATAATCGAGGATATTTTTTCAACAAGATAGTTTTGATTATACGTACGTTGCCAGTTGTCGCCATACATGTTCTTAATACTACCTTTAGCAAAGCTATTCGAATATCGTTCATTCTAAAAAAGAAAAGAACCTAGGTGAAACAAGCCCGGTCGTAAACGGCCGTTTTTGATCGTATTTGACCCGTTTGGTATGTGCCGTATATTGCCGTGTCGTAAACGATCGAATACGGGATTTTCCAACCGTTTTTCACCGTTTCTAATCGTATACGGCAAGGTGATATACGGTCGTATTACGGCGCATACCGAACGGGTCAAATACGGCCAGTTTACGGCCGTATCCTTATCATTAACGGTCGTTTACGACCCGCTCACGGTCATCGTAATGCTGGACCTGGGAATACAAAACAATAATGATCATATTATAAACATACTTCAATAATACACATGTTTTTTATTAGTTAAAAAAAAAGACAGTGAACTATATTACATACTTCTGGTTGTCCACGTAAATCTCCAGCTTTTGTATAAAACTATTCCCGAATCATCATTAAACCAGAATGATTAACTATTACTTTCAGTACTATGATTTACGAGTATTCAAAGTTTCTTATTTGTTTAATAAACAAAAGAAAATCCAACAATGAGAAAAATGACGACAACACCACTATCTGTTTATATTAAGTGATGCATCGATATCCTTAGATTTGTAGTTATAGAATACGCACGTGTTCTTCGAAATTCATCTTTTCTTTTTTTTTCTTTTCGTTAGAAAGAATCGACTTGGGAGCAGAGAGAAATAGATATAGAGTGCCTGGATAGTTACTATTGAATGTTTTCTTCGTAATGATAACTTATGTAAAATTAGACTAAGAGAATACAATAGTTGCCGCTATAATGAATTTCAATATGATCGAAATAGAATATGATTCACTGGACAACACTCTGTTCACTATACACTGCTAAAAGAAACAAAAAAAAACGTGTAAAGACAGCTGCTAACGTAGTTCTACCGGATTAAAATGTGAGATACGATGTAGTTGTTGTTGTCTTCATCCTTTATTTGCTTAGCGGTTGAGAAATGTGATCAGAAAGTTATTGGTAAATTGTAACAATCCGTTACTAATATACGATCTGTGATCATATATTAATAACTTGTATTATGGTCTATGAGATGGATTATTACTTTCCATGTCATAATCTGTGATAGGTTTTAGTTTTTGATCCCCTCTGGCATTTTAAAGCAAAATAAATATGATATTCGTGATCAGCACTATCGATAACCCATAGATAACAAATACTTTGATGAAAAACGGAAATTATTTTGAACTTTCCTCGAGAAACTAACGTAAAACATTTTTCGAAAAAATTTCTTTGAGCTAGGTATAAAATAATAGTGTACTATGGCCAAAATTTAATGCTAATTATGAGCCTATCATTGTTTTCAAAAATAATGAGAAATAAAAAATGGCCGTATCACCATTTCTTATTTTGTACTTTTGACATTTCCGTTAATGATCGTTTTATCCTGTTTCAAACTGAACATTAGCTAATCGAGAATCTTGTATACGCACACGAAGATTAAATAGATTTTCAATTATAATTTCTTTAATTGTTGAATGTATGTGAATAGGAATCGATAATAAACATAGAATTACATAGAAGATTCATACTGTGTGTTACTTTTTACTTCGCTGCTATATCAATATACAAACAAACACAAAGTACACATATCTTATTATGATAATATGACATACAACAATGTCCTTTTCTCCATGAACTCTACTTTCGAGATCTTATTTGAGTCAACTGTAAAATATTCTTCAGTTAATTGGCGTCTTTTATTCATTGGTAAATCGAATGGACATAGAATAATTCGACTGTTTTTATGTATGTTCAGCTTGCATACCTTATATTAAACATATTATTTCGAGGTAAACATGCAAGGCGTATAAATTTATAAACATGTTCATTAGAAAATATAGAAAAAGGTCGACGATGTAGACAGGGATGTGGCCATCACGGGGTGCAGGGGGTGCGCACTCCCCACTTTTAAAAAGTGTTTGTTCTTTCCCAGCAAAAACCTGTATTTTTATTGAAAAAAAAGATCGTAAGTTGGAAAAATAAGTTTCTGCACCGCCCCCACTTTTTAAAAATTTTGTAAATGGATCTTCTCACGCTCAAAATTTTCTGAATACACCCTCAACTTTTGAAAAAATGTCTCTTGCATCCCCACGGTTTTCTCTTCGCCACATCCCTGGATGTACATGTATCCATTCAGTGTCATCATAATCATCATCATTTTCTTATCGTTTTATATAATCTGCAACATACATATCAAATAATGAATATTCATCATCATCACCATAATCAATATCTAGAAATGCTGTTCTTGTTGTATTTGTCAATATATTATCAGGAAAACTATATTTAATAACAGCTAAACAATAAATATTAATTATAAAAAATAATTATTAAAAAAAAGTCAAACCTAGTGCATTATATTCAACATTATAAGACACGATGAGGTGTTATATTTCTCTCTCGTTTTTTAATACGTTTATTTAATTTATTTTCTTTGATAATAGCACGTTCAATATTAGATTTTAAACGATGTATTGTTTGTGAAAGAGATTCATCAACAGAACGTAATAAATTAAATTGACGACGTATTTTTGTTGAAGGTATTTCATAAACCATTTGAATAAGAATTTTAGTTGAATCATCTTTATCAAAGATAAAACATGTTCGATTATTTGATGCCATAAATAAATTTAATTTTGTTGAACGATAAGATTTTTTCAATGTAGCATAAAATTCTCGACTACTACTAGAATAATGACGAATCAGATCAATATTGAATAAACGAATAAGAAGAAACATCTCTTTTTTTTTTGTTTTTGTGTACTCAAAAAGTGAGTACACTACTAAAATCGGTCAGTGTGTCCGGCCGTCCGTCCGTTTATTCGATAACTTTCGAAAGGAGAGTCCGATCGCGATGAAATTTTCTACACAGTTCAGTCTTAACAATATCTCGGTTGAGAGAAGAAGATGAGAAGGATTGGCTGAGCCGTTCCTGAGTTATTGCAAAAATACTCATTTTTCCCTGCACCTTCCCTATGGAAAGATCGACCCATCCCCACTTTCGTAAAAGACTTTTCCTATCATAGTCAACTAAAACCCCAACTATTATATACCATTCGATAGAGAATTTCACGAGCTACAAAATGGTATATAAAACATAAAGAAACAAGAAGGTTGACTCATCTATCACAAAGATAATTAAAGAGAACTAGGTTAGATTTTTGTCCACGATCTAATTGATCCAGAAATAGAGCTCTATCTTCCGATCACAGTGATGATACTTCGAGGTTTTCTGAGATGAAGAACTCGAATCTGTATTCCACTTCCATCGAAATACTATTGGTTGAGCAGTGACCAATAGAAATCAAGTTATAGGAAAAACGACTTTCTTAGGGTAAATGAAGGGGAAGAGTTGAAATTTTCTCTGTATTCGGTCCCAAGTCCTATTGGTTTGGCAATACTCAATAGAAATCAACAGTTTAGAGGGTAGGTTCCCCAGTATAATTTTGATGTCCACACGTTCTAGAACGACTCATCTGTCTCATTCACTTTTTGAAGTACACATAACTCTCGGATTTAAATTCGAAGTTTCCGCATTTATTGTTTATATACAAAAGAAAAAAATAAAATAAAATTTATCTCAAATTCTTTTTTTTCTATGATTTTTTCCTCTAATAGAATTTTGATAAGAGTGAAAGGTCTATACCTGATAAAACGATCTTGGATTTTGACGGGAAACACATATTCAGACCCGTTGAATATTCTCTATTTATATTCTCTCTATTACGAAATACTTGAGTAATTCATCTACGTTAGTAAATTACTAAGTCATTATTTTATTTACTGAAAAAAAAGAAAGAATTCTTAAGATACTAGTAAAGAATAACTAATAAAATAAGATATTCGTGTTTTATTGAAACAAATTCATATTTCTGTTTGGCTTAAACATTCAACCAATGAAAATAATTTGTAAGCTAAACGTTAGTTGTTACTAAGTCAAAAGCAAGAACGAATAAAGTGAAAGTATATTTTTCTTTAGAATGTATTTACTTTGTATTGCGTCTCAATTCTACACCATTAAAATTCACTATAACAACAAGTAAAACAAAAATGTGTTTATCTGTACATGAGACGGTAATTTATTGTTTACATTTAAATAAATAATAAAATGTAAGTTAAATAAGAAACGAAATAAAAATAAAATTTCTTTTTTTAGTTTTTTTTTAAAGTTCAATGATTGGTACTTCAAAAGTGTCTCAACAAAAAGTATGATAATATATTTAATAATTTAATAAAATAGTTGAAATATAATTTATCTAGGGTCAAGTTGATCCCGAAGATCTATTTCAACGACTTGAACATATTGGTCGTGGATCATTTGGAGTAAATGATTTATTTTATTTTGTTTTTTGTTTTTTATTATTTTTGTTTTTTCTAAAGGAAGTTTATAAAGGTATAAATAGAAAATTATCAAATATCATTGCAATTAAAATAATCGATTTGGAAAAATCTGAAGATGAAATCGAAGATATTCAACAAGAAATTCAAGTACTTTCTCAATGTAATTCACCATATGTAACTAAATATTTTGGTTCTTATTTAAAAGTAAATTTATTTTATTTTTCATTGAATAAATTAATTTTGATTATAAATAAGGAAACTAAATTATGGATTGTTATGGAATATCTCGGTGGTGGTTCAGCATTAGATCTAATGAAACCTGGTGTATTTAATGAAAAATATATTGCAATTATTTTACGAGAAGTTCTTAAAGGTCTTGAATATTTACATTGGGAAAAGAAAATTCATCGTGATATAAAAGCAGCTAATATTCTTCTTTCTGAACATGGAGATGTTAAATTAGCAGATTTTGGTGTTGCAAAACAATTAACAGAATCAATTAATAAAGGATGTACTTTTGTTGGAACACCTTTTTGGATGCCACCTGAAGTTATTATGCAACATAAATATGATTATTCGGTAAGATTATTTTATAAATTATTCTTCCTATTATTGTTTTCATCTTTAAACTAAAATATGCGCTCTTCCTACGTTTATGTCAATAATAAATAAAGAATCTACTTTGAAAATAACAGAATGATTAAGGATATTTATCTATTATATATTCAACTCTCAATATATTTTATTGAACTTATTTTTATCGATATCATTCAGTCTATGCTGTCATTTATCTATTTAATTACAATTATTTTCTGTAATTTTGATACAGGATTACATTATGAAAAATCTGATTGTAATATTCCGAACGATAATAGATATTTGACAAAATAATAATGAGTGACCCATAATTAATGGCTATTTCTTCTAACTTATCTTTTCATCAGCTAATATATTTTATTAAAAGAGAATATATATTAGAAGATGTACCTCAAAAAAACAAATCGATAATCTATAAATAAAAAAGTTTATTTTACACATGCACATCCAATTTTTAGAAAAAAAAAATAAAGTTCTGTTCGAGTTATTGTCGATCCTATGAATCAAATTATTTTTTTCGATAAATGATTAATTCGCTTTTTTTTCTTCTCAACACTTGAAGAAAATTCAATTTACTGATGAAAAATACTTGTCATGAGAACATGTTTATGTTAGTAGCTAACAGAAGACATAAATTAAAAGACAATCTATCGAAAAATCCTTAGAAAAATGACGCCACATCTCAATTAACATTTGAAATAGGTGGAAGATTTATCATATAAGAATTCTATTAAATTTGTTCTTTGACATATACAATATGCAAGCAGACAGCTGCTGGTCGACTATTTCATCTATAAATAAAACAATGCAATGTTTTATACACATAAGAATATCTTGACATAATGCACACTGGATTTCATAGATAAATAACAAACAATTTTCATCTCAACCTTTTTTATTATTATGTATCGGATGCTATTATAATCATATTCGCACCGTTGGAAGCAGATCGAACGGAATATTATCTGCTTTTCTTATAAAACAAAATGTGAATTTATAAAATAAGATTTTTCTGTACTTTCTCCAGAGAAATCCCTAGTGAATCCCCGAGTTTTAGAGAGTAGAAAAAAACGAAAAAACATTCAGGAGAATTTATGAGGGATTGCAGGAATGCATTTACTGTTTTCTTTCGCGGCTATAAAAATATATAAATGTTTATTTTTAACATTCATTTTTTTCTAACGAGGGAAGCTTCCTAAATGATCCATTACTTTTAAGTTGGAATCATATACATCATAACGAGCTATGAATACTGCGAAAAGAGTTCACGTTCATAGCTTGCAGACCTCAAAATCGAGCCACTTTTTTTATGGCTCGGATCCGAAAGAAACTTCGTTTACAAAGATTTTTTTTCTCATTAGACAGCTATTTCATACTTTTCAACTTTTGTAAAAAGTGATGATCAAGGGGAAGGGGTAGCGTGAAGAAGCTTCCTCTTATTTCCCTCCCTCAGGGGTGAGCCAAATCTCAGAAAAATTTATTGCAAAAAAGGATAAAATCATCGGACCGGATGACCCGTTTCGAGGTCTGGTGAGATAGTGCATTTTTATAGTATCTGTTAACTTAATGCCGTGGTTCCCATCAGAACTACCAGAAAAACTTATTTTCGAATTTCGATTTGGAACTTTACATAGAGGCAGACCTCAATGAGAATAGTTTATTCTGAAAGTTTCAACATTTCAGAATGCTCCTAATCTGAAATAAGAGCATTAGAATCTGCGTTTGTAAGTAATGTGAAAAATCTTCTGTCACCATAGTTGTATTCTAGGATAGAAACAATGAAAATATCTGAAACTTTCACAGCAAACCATTCTCATTGAGGTCTGTCCCTATGCAAATTTCCAAGTCGAAATTCGAAAATAAGTTTTCCTGATGTTTCTGACGGGAACCACGGTATTGAGCTAACAGATACAAGCTATCGGCTCGAACTCTTTTCACAGTATTCGTAGCTCATTTTGACGTACATAGTTCCAAGTCAAAAGCGACAGATCATTTGGGGCCCTTTCCTCGTAAATAATAAATATCATTTGAACTTCTACCTGATCCCTCTCCCCGATAATTCATTATTTCTGACTGTGAGTTAACAGTTGATCCGCAGAACTCGTTCGTTGAGATGAGATCTGTTAAACGGCTTAGGTGGAAGGTTCTTTTAAAAAATTAAAAATTTTTTTTGAAAAAATAGATTTCGGTTGACAAAAAGTAACATAGTTGTGAAAAAAATGAATAGGTTCACTTTAGCGCCCAGAAGATTTTTAGAAATTTCTTGACGAATCTTTAAACTCATCGTGAAATGCTTGACAATTTTCTGGGAACTCTTCGAGGATTTTTCTGGTAAAAGTGAACTAGAGCTATGATTAATTCTGTTTTTTAATAAAACATATTATTGATTTAATTTAAAATACTTTTTATTTAATTGTCTTGTGTTTTTTTTTACATAATTATCTATAGATTTATATTTGATTAATCATTGTTAATTTTTCCTATTTATAAAATAACTCAACTAAAATTAAAATTGAATAAATCTATATTTAAATTGAATAATGAAAAGAATTATTTCATTGTTAATTCGTATAGATAGATTAGATATAATAATCATATTTCGATAGAAATTCTCTAACTTTCTAATTAATACTAATTTAAAAAAAAAAAAATAATGAATTGAAAATATGATTTTTGTAGGCAGATATATGGTCACTTGGTATAACATCAATTGAATTAGGAAAAGGTGAACCACCTAATTCTGATTTACATCCAATGCGTGTTTTATTACAAATTCCAAAAAATCCTCCACCACAATTACCTGGAAAAGATTATTCAGATGCTTTTAGAGAATTTGTTGAAGCTTGTTTACAAAAAAATCCTCAACATGTAATTTTTCAAAAAGAAATAATTATTTTAAATAAAAGAAAGAAATTTATCATTTTTGTTTTGTTTTTTTTTTCATATAAGAGACCAACAGCTACACAATTACGTCGATTTAAATTTGTTTCAACAACAAAACCAACAAAATATTTAATTGAATTAATAATACGTTATCAAAATTGGAAAAAAAAACATGATCATGAAGAAAAATCTGATAGTGGATCAAGTTCAGATGAAGATCAGTTAGTCAAATAAATAATTAATTAAATATTATATTTATTAATATAATTCATTTTTTAGATCAAAACATAATTCATCTCAATGGGAATATGGAGGTGGAACTGTAAAATCATCTCTCAATTATGCTCATTTAGTATGTCATTTAAATCATCTTATATTATTATTATTAGAACGAAATTTTAAAAATAAATTTATCATCTTGAAATCTTCTCTGCCAAGAAAAAAAGAATCGTTTTTTTTCTTTATTTTTCGATCTATTTTTATTATTTAATTATATGATTTTAGCCCAAACAATCGATTGAAGTAAATCCATTATTTAAATCAATATTTGATGATGTAATTTTAATTAAAAAAAAAAATAAAAAAATTTATCTTTAATAAAAAAAACTTTCTTATTTTAAAATAGCTTTCAATTCGTTATAATATTCCATCTTCAAATAATAATTTAACACATAATACGGAAAATGGTGTTGAGTTATTTGAAAATTTACGACGTTTATTTCTAAATAATGATCGACATTATCCAAATTTATGTAATGATTTTAGTCGAATTTTGTCTGAACATATATCCAAAGCAAATTATATTCCACGAACATCAACAACTATAAACGATTCAACAACAGACACAAATCATGTTCAAATATCATCAGGTGCTGTTAGAATGTCTATTTAAATAGAAACTATTTACTTTCTTATTTCATCATATCATTATTATATGAGACAAATAATCCTTTCATATTTATTCATTCTATACAATTACATTGACTTGGTTTTTAAACGATTCATAATCATAATATGTTTTAATTAACTCCTATATTTTATTCCTAAGAAGGAAAAAAAGTAATAAATTGTATCTATATGTACGACAGTGATTTTATTTTAGTCGACACTAGCTGAATCTTTGTTTTTTTGTTTGATTTCTTAATCGAAATGAATATATTCTTCCGTTTCGTATAGTCTGCATGAGTTTTATCTTTCATTTTGTTATTTTGTCAATTGATTTTTTTAAAAATATAATTGTGAAATGATGAAGGAGAATGAGATTGAAAACGACGGTGTTTTCACTTTTATTGATTTTTGTGTTTTGTTTGTTTTTTTTTTGGCGTTAAGATTATTCTTTGAATTGTATGAATAAATAAATAAATAAATAAATCTTCCAAGAAAAAACAATAAAACTAATATTTATTCATTTTTGTTTTTGTTTTTCTTGATATAAAACAATGGATGATAATGAACGTAAGAAAACAATTGATTCGTGGCATATACGTGCTGATCCTTATGAAATATTAATTAATAATTATGAAATATTTTCTAATATGGCTATGGGTCTTATTAAATTTGTTGAAAAACATCGAGATAAATATGATAAAGATATAAATATTATTGATTTAGCTGCTGGAACTGGTTTAGTATCGAAATTATTAATCGAATATCTTCATATATCACCATCATCATTATATCTTATTGAACCAGCTGAAAGAATGTTTTTACACGCAAAACAAAATCTAAACAATTCTCATTTATATAATGTCGCTGCTGAAGATTGTCTTACAATACCTGATTTACCTCTTCATTATTTTGATTTTATTCTTTGTAATGCTTCAATGCATTTAATGTCTGAAAATAATATTTATCCTGTTATATCAAAATTACTTAAACCTAAAAAAGGTTTTTTTCTTTATACAATATGGTATCATTCATTTGATGAAACAGAACATTATAAATGTGATCAAATTGAAACATATATTAATGATGCCTTAACTTATTTTAATTATCCAAAATATTTTATAACAATAAATCGAAAAAAATCAATAACAACTCGATCAAGAAAATCTTTAGAAGAAACAGCAAATAAATCTGGACTTAAACTTGAATCATGTACAATTGATATTCATCGATCGCCATTAACTTTTGATCTTGATTTTATGTTAATGACACCAAATTGGTTAATTGAACATTTAAAAACTAATCAATGGACACAAAATGATAATATTTATTTAATCAGAGAACGTATTATAGAAAAAATTCGAGAGTTAATTAAAGGAAAATTTTCTGAAATACCAGTTGTGCAAATAATTGTTTCAAAAATTTAACAAAAGAGAATTTAATAAATTCTCTTTTTTTTTTTGTATTTTAGATAGATGTCTGAAAACATTAATTCATCAATTGAAAATCGAGAACAAGATGCAGCAAAAGCAACAGCTGAGGAAAATACTGCAGAAATTCGAAAAGAATACGGAATTTCTGATGATGATTATCCAATACAACCAAAACAAATAAATTCAACATCAACTAAATCAGATGATAAAACTAAAAAAGAACCACCTCAAATGAATATTCAACTACAACATTGAATTTAATTATTTTATCACTATATCTATTTCAACTAATATGCTCATATTCATTCTATACTTTTATTGTGCATTATTTATTATCTTTATTATATAATCTTGCTTCGTTTATTTTAATATAAACAAGATATAGAAAAAATTGATCGTTTTTCAATTGATCATTATTTTTATTCATTGATTCAATATTCGTTCGACAAACAATATATTCAATATGATCACCTTTTATTTGTTAAACTTCACTATTTTAACATTATTTATAAGGGTGCTTTATATTTATTGATATATCTATTTAAGAATATCCAGTTAAAATATTTTATATATTCATATATTATCTGCAAATATTCTTCAAGTAAAAGAATAAAATAATTTTTTGTTTTTTTTCTTTTTTATTAATCTCAGTTAGCGGCGAGACAAGAAAAAGAATGTACGTCTATATATATATACACACACAAAAGCAAAAGCAAGAAAAAAGAAAAGGGCAACACACACATATATATATATATATATATGTATATATCTAGTTATAATAATAATTAATATCAGCGTTCATAATACGCTTTACAAAGACAACAAATAAACAACATGGAAAGAAAAAAAAAACCCGAAGAAAGAATATAATATGTTAAGTGTATAATATGTGCAATGAATGATGAAATTATATTATAGAAAAGTACATTCTAAGGGTAGTAAATAAACGAAAAAATAGATCTTATTACATAATATACATTAATTCTTCATTTATTTTTTGCTTGTTTTTTTTGAAGTTTTGCCTTTTTTTGTTGTTGTTGGAGCTTTACGAGCTTTTTTACCTGTTGAAGCTACGTTTGTACTCGTATTAGCAACATTTGTAGTAGCGGCAGTAGTTGTTGTTGAAGGTGTATTAGCTACATTTCCAGTTGATGATTTCGATTTCGATGATTTTGCTTTTGCTTTTGATGATCCAGCAGATGTTTTCTTTTTTGTTGAAGTTGATTTCTTTTTTGGACTTTTTGTTTTACCTGAAGATTTTGTTTTAATTGATGTTCTCGATTTTGGTTTAGCAGCTATATAAACATATATTAAATAATTCAAATGAAATATATTTATTTATTATTAATAAATAAACTAACCTGTTTTAGCCTTTGTTGTTGTTGTTGTTGTTGTTTTCTTTTTTATTTGAGTATTAGCTGTTGATGGTGTAGCTGTTGTTGTTGTTGTTGCTGCTACTGGATTATTAACGTTAGTAGTAGCAGGTTTTTTAGCTGGAGCTTTTTTTGTTGGAGATGCTGAACGTTTTCGTTTAGTTGTTCCAGTTGTTGATTTCGATTTAGATGATGAACGAGATTTATTTGTGTTAGTTGATTTTTTATTTGTAGTTGATGTTTTTGATCGACTTGGTGATTTATTTGTTTTTGTTGTTGATTTATTTGTTTTTTTAGGTGATGATTTTTTATTTTTTGTTGCTGCTGGTGATGATGATGTTGAACTTAATTTAAAACTTCCACTTGCTCCAATACCTTTTGTTTGTTTTAATGTTGTATTTTTAATTCCAGCACGTAATGCTGATTTAAGATGTTGATTTGCTGTTGTTGGATTAACTTTATAATTAGCTAAAATATATTTTAATAAAGCAGCTTTTGATGTACCATTACGATCATTTAATTGTGTTATTGCTTGTTTTATCATAAGAGAATATTTTGGATGAGTTTTTGTATTTTGAACTTTTCGATTTTTATTTAATGAATTACTTTTACTTTTTTTATTTGTATTTGAACCTGATGTTGTTGTTCCTGTTTGTGATGTATTAAATGATGTTGATGATGTTGGATTTGTAAGATCAGTCATTTTATTTGATTTAATATATATGAATATGAAGCAAAAAAAAAAAAGATGTGTATATGTGCGTGTGCGCGGGAGAACGATGTCGATAGAATGAATGAGAATGATGGTGATAGTCTATGTTGGTCGTTGTCGTTCTTGCTTTTTTTTCCTCTCCTTCTTTCTCCGTAAACGAGTCGAACCGCACATAGGATCAGTTTTGTCAAGCGAGATTTTTTACAATTGTTCAAGCCCTCTTCAACAAATTTAGATTTTTTTCATAGAATTTTATTTTATTTTAAAAAAATTTTAATCCTATTTGATAGAAAAGACTTTTCTCTATAATATTATATAAAATATTCAATAATTTAATCATAATAATATTGAAATAAATGTGTAAACATATGACGAACAAGATAAGATTTGATGGATAGTTGGAAAGTTTTTAATTATTTGATTAAGATTATAAATTTTTAAAAAAAGAATATATATATGATTTGAAAGAGAAATGTGTCTATTATATAAACGAGTTTTTCAATTGGAAAAATTTCTAGATGCGCGATGGCAATTTTATCAAAAAGCAAAACCTCTGGCGAACAAAATGGTTAGAAAAAGAAATAACAACAGACGGATTGACGATGTTTTCTAATAGAAAAAACTTGACTATGTTTTTCTTGTTGTTGTTCTTGACGGATATTGACTATACTTCTTTAAGATTATTTACATTCTACAACTATCAATATTAATCATTTTAAACTTATTTTTATTTATTAAAAATATTCATTTGAATTTTTAAATCAAATTAGTTTTTTAAAACTTCATTTATAATAAATAGTAAAAGGTTTAGACAAAATTCATTCAATCTTATTTAAAATAATCTGTATTCAATATGGATCTATCCATTAGAATCAATAGATCATATCGTTAGCGGTTTCTTCTTTTTTTGTTTTCAAACAAATCGATTCATATAGAAAAGAAAAGATATGCTTATGAACATTTTTTATGATAAAAAGGACGCTGTCATAAAGATCCCAATGGAATTGAAATATAAACCATGATGAAGATGATTCTACTTTGTCAATAACTACCTTCAATTTTGTCATAGATATCTCTATACGAACGAGGGACGTCCAACTTTCTACCAGAAAATCATTTTCTATTCAACAATTTCAAAATCTCTTTCAGTTTAAAAGTAACGTTTCATATGTTTGATTTCGCCTTTTTCCATATGTAAAACGAAATGAAAACATTAAGGTACGACGAGTTGTCTAAAATAAAAGTTAAAGATTATAAAATGATGTTACAATTAATTAAGATTTAATAAAAAGATTTACGCAAATTTATAATTATTTTAATTGAAAAATAATTAAAATTGAAGTTATCATTTAGAATTGAAAATCTTCAATGGTAAATAGGATTGAAATATATTTATTAAACGAAAAGATTTCGTCAATAAAACACTTTAATTGTTTCATTTAGGTGAAGAAAATAAATCTAAGTTTAACTTTGATTACTATTCAATGTTTTGTTTATTTAGTAAAAATAAACAATTTTATCTAAAGTTAATTTATTAAATTAAATTTAACTTTTATTTGAAAAAAATCGATCAGAAAAATTTGAATAAATTCTATATTTAATATGGTTATACCCTTGACTATAGGATATATTCTTTCTAGAATTAATTATTAATAAGGTTACCATATTCTACAATAGAATATTAAATCGAAAATAAAATATGTTATAATAGATTTATTTTTTGTAATTCTCACAAATATAATATGATTAGAAAATAAATAAATATAGTTAATATCACATTTTTAATATTCGATTTATTTGCAAAACGTCTTACAGAAATAAATATAATTAAAATCTTGAATTATTTAGTTAAATATATTTATTTAATATGTTTATAAAAAGTTAAAATACTATATGGATTGACAAAAACTTTTAGCTTAATATGTCATTTTCCTTTCTTTCTTTTTTTTTGTTTTCCATTCTATAAAGTTCATATAGAATAACAATTCTCTTATATCGGAAGTTGAGATCTTTCATAAGATAAATATTCATTTAATATAGGATATTTACAGTTACACAAATCGAAAAAGAACATTAGAAATAATTCATATCTCATTCTTAAGTTGTTGTCTTCTAACACGTCAAACTTCTACTTTTATCGAAAAATGAATATTTCCAAACATCACATTGTTTTATATCTATCGATAAGTAACATATGGAATTCTTTGAAATGCTCTAAGAGACATTTTAAAACTAATGGGAAGGTCAATATGTATAACTACGTGCAAAAAAGAAGTGACATTAATAAGTTTTTTTTTTTTTGTTATTGTCTCTTCGAATCCTATGAAATGATACCATAGAAAAATGAAATCTAATATCGATATAAAACAATGAATTTCGATGAAATCTATTGAGATGTTTAATAGAATAAAAGAAAATTCTCTAAAGATAATATTTTATCTCTATTTCGTAGTTGAAATTAATTTTTTAATGCATAGTGAAAAGAACATATATATATCTAATCGAATATATAAAAAAACAAATAAGAATAAATAGAGAATAAAAATTGAAAATTAGACACATTTCATTTATACAAACAAGAAGGATTCTAATGTCTGCTTATATTATTTTTTATATTTTATTTTGATAAGGTCGATTTTTGTTAACTAAACTCAATCTACGAAATCTATTCTAGTCTACCATTTAACAAATAATCCTATCAAATATATAAAATAGTCAACTTATATTTATCTAGTTATTCACATAGAAAAATATATTTGGGAAAAAATTCACTTTTAAACTATAAAAAAAGGGCTGTTTTAGAAAAAATTTCCTTTTAAAATTAAAAATTTTCATCATAGAAATTCAAGATTGAATATTATCCAAAAACTATAACTAATCTTTTGTTTCTTCTAGCTTAACTTTGACAGTTAGAGCTAAAATTCGATCACGAATGTCAACTTAGTGATCCGTTATATAGAAATAAAATGAATGAATTAGATATTCTATATACCAATAAACTTATCATATTGAATAGTGATTAGAAGGAAGTCGACCTAGATATTATGTATCGAGTATTACTTCGAGAACAAAGCTAACAAGATAAAAAATCTAACTAATTTAACCAAAGGAAAAATCATGTTTTTCTCTATCAGAATAAAAGACAGGAAAAGCTGAAACTGACGAGAGAACTCTATCAACTGATAACTTCCGTCCGAGTTCAGATTTTGATGATTGTTACGTTCAGTTTTTTGAAAAATAAAAATAATCATCCGTTTTTACTTAAACTTTCAAGATATTATTAAATATATAAATTCAAAACGAAATAAAAAAATTCGATTATTGTTTGTATATCTATTCTAAATAAGTATTTTCATGTCTTATTATTGAAAAGAATTAAAATATGTAACGTAAGACAACAAAATGTTTATAAATATATTGTAAAAAGAGTTGAAATATTTATTTGATATTGTAATAAAGAGACACATATTTAAATATATATCAAGCCAAATTGATAATCTCACCAGTTTATTAATCGAATAAAATACAGAAACAAATTATTTGTTTTGTTTTCCCCATTAAATTGAAATCTATAATAGAATGTGTAATCTGCAAACATCTATTTTTGAGAATAATATTATAGCTGAAATAAGATAGAATCATTGTAAACTATATTTGTTCAAACAAATAATGAGAAAAAAAAATAGTTTCAAAATAATATTCACAAATTTCATATAATTAATATTAAAATAATCATTAGAAAAATGTTCGATATTGATATATTAATTAATGATAATAATGAATTTATTTCTTCTTTTTTTTCTTGTTGGATATCTAATGTTGAACGTAAAGCAAGTGAAACATTACGTGTATTGTCTTTAACAAAACAAATAAAAAGATTTTATTTTTATATTTCATAAGAAAAAAAAAACAAATTTACCAATAACTTTAAGATGAAAGATTTCTGATATTGGTTTAATTGCTGTTACAAAACAACTATAATAACCTTGATCAGATAAATGAATTTGACGTATTTCAAGATTTAAATGATCTCGATTATCTTTATCAACTAAATGTGTTAAATGATAACGATTTAATGATGTATATTTAAGTAAATCAACATATAAAAGATTAATTAATTTTTGAGTTTCATTCATAAAATGAACACGAGACCATGTTACCTGAATTTTTATCTTCTTTTAGTAAAATTAATAAAAAAAAAAAAAAACAAAACATTTTGTTTAACTTACATGTCGTTGATTTCGATTTTGTATAATACATGATAGTTTAGCTGTATGATTAACATAAGCTATTATTTCATTTTGTGTTGAAATTATCTTTGGTTCACTATTTGCTGATATACGATTAACTAGAAAACAAAATATATTTTTTTTGTCTCAACCTTTTTTATTTTACATAATGAATACTTCTACTTACTATTTATAATGAAAAAAAGAAGACAAATAAATATTTTCCAGATAAGAATAGTCTCCTGTTTATATTCCATTGAATAAACGATAAGAATTTTATTTCTTAATCGAACATATTTTCTTTTTTTTTATTAAAATCAAATGATCTTATAATAAATAATTTAATTATAGAATGACTTTCGTCTAGAATAATAGAAGAATACTCAACATATTATAACGATTAATATAAAAGCTTTGAATAGATAAATATTATTGATCGATTCAACAAAATCTCTCAACTATTTCTCTTCGATTAACCAAAGTAAATCAATGAAAGAAAGGAATTATGATTGAATAGTCATTAAAATCTACCTGATATACTCATAAGAGAAAGAAGATATAATAACAAATGAATAACTATCACTTAATGATAGATGCATTTCATTAACTTTTCTTTTCAGAATCTATATATACTTTCATTCTTATCTCTATAGGAAGTATAACGACTTTCTTTCAGTCAGTCATTCACTCACATTAATATATATATATATATATATATGACTGTCTTATCGTATATTTCTTTTTTCTACAATTCATTATGAGAATCACGCAATTCTTCATCTATCTATATATATATATATATGTTGTGCACAAAGTGAACGAGAGCGAGAAAGAGATGATTAGGACAGATTTTCTATGTCGTCTATTTACTGGAAGGCATGACGTCGGTTCATCTCAAAAAAAGAAAAACATAAACATACACATACACATCCGTATGTTATCCTATGATTATCAGAGATGTGAACTATTTTTTTATTTTTTACAAAAGTAACTTGTTATATTAATCGACTATGGACAATATTAGTCTTATTGTCAAAACATAACAAAGAAAAAAACAAACATAGGAGATCATTATATTGAATGTAATATATCTCGAATTTCTAGAATAAAACAAATCGAATAATTTTTGTTGATAAAATGATTAACCTGTATGATGTTTATATGTATTTCAATGTTAACAATAGAATATAATAGAATTTGTAATTATTAAGATAATATTTATTTCGATACAATCAACGAGTTAGTATTCCTAATAGAATCTAATAGATGATCGATCATAGATCGATATATACTGAATCACGCAAGAAAATATCGAAGACTAAAAGTGCAAAGAAAAAAAATAGTTGGTGCCAATGTTGTTATGACGATTGCAAGGATTCATCATTGTATTGTCCGCAATACAGACGGAACAGAGAGAGAGAGAGAGAGAGAAGAAAACGAAGAAATTTCACACATACTGTTGTTCAGATAAAAAAGAAAACAAAAAAAAAAGCGGAAAGTAACTGTTAATGTAGTGATTCTTGATAGCATAATGTTCAATATATGACGCAATATGAATAGCTGACATTTAAAGCTTACCGAAGTAAAAAAAAAAAAAGAAAAAAAGAAACTTTTTAAAGCAAACATGGATCAAGCTCAATTGAATAGAACGATAATTTCGAGTGCGTAATCAATCCGTTGAATAAAGTTTTTTTTTCTGCTGTCATTAATACACTTAATAATCTGCTAGAATGTATTTTCATCAATATGTTTCGAGTGGTTAGACGAGAAAAAAAAAGAAAATGGCAAATCCGAGCTAAATCTAACAGAGGAAAAAAAAAGAAAAGAAATCAACACAGTCTAACCCATTGACTTGGCATTGACTAGGACTATTCACCATAAAGTACATGAACAATGTTACCCGCGATCAAAATTCAACATCATTTTTCTTCTCTCCCTTTCTTTTTTGTTGATGTTCTGTGCGGTACCAATGACGTTTGAATAATACTCTATTCATGTGTATATATACAGACAGACTAGTGTAAAGCTGAAATGAGTGAATAGTCAAGTACTCAATTGAATGTAACAATAAGAGAATAGCATTGAACATACGACGTGATGTCCACTAAGTCACGCACTATGAGTAATATCTAAAATAAAGATGATAGGAAATGCTATTCATTTATTTAACTTTTCTTTGATCTAACTCAATTTGATTTCGATATAATTGACTAGACTTCTTTTAGACATGCTTTTATATTATTGCATCATTAACTAAAGATAATTCTAATCGCAATAGATACAATATGAAATATATTTATAATTAGCTGAATTTTTATTTAGAATAAAATTTATTTTTTAGATTATTTTCAAGTCTATAGAAAATTTATTTTTATTTCATCTGAACAAACTTGAAATTTTTTTCAATCTATATTAATTAATAATGAGATAAAGAAAAAAAGAAAAGGCCATCGCACAACATTAACATGAGTAAATACTTAATTAACCTATTTCCGTCTTGCTTATTTGACAATAATAGAAATAACAGTTTCATTATAATAGAAAATTAGTGAGGAGTTGGCTGTTTAGATGTTGAAATAGAAAAACGAACAAATATGATTTTTCTAGTTGATTGATGTAGATCATATAGTAGAATTGAGCCAAGATGAAAATGACTTTCTTTTCTTTGTGAGTTTAATACTAATAAAAATCTAATCATTGTGTCAATAGGGAGAAAAAACGTAACGTGATTTACATCCGTTTCCTGTTGCCGTGCAGACATCTTACACCTTTCATCATTCATAATATATATCGGTCAGTACACAATTGAGACACATTTAGATCTATATTTTGCCGTTAGATTATTTAATTTAGTTTTTTTTTTTTGCTATGTGCTCTTATTTGACAGTTAATGAAGCGAAGAAGGAAACTAGAATAGAACAAAGAACAACAACATTAGGACAGACGGCTTATTCATACAATTCTATTTAAACTAAAAATGAATGACGAAATTGAGTTTATTCTTTAACGACGATCATTTTTTATATTTGACATCACTTTTTTCTTTGTTCTCTCTTATATTATCATGTCGAAAATTCTCATATCAGTTTTTTTCTTTCATTTCAACTTTAGGTTTTTTAATAGTGTCATCACATAATTCGAACTACTATTGAACATTCTTCCTAATATAAGACATTTTGGTCAACAGTTATTTCATAAAAATAAATCTCTTTATTGTTAATATTGAGAAATGACAGTTTTTTTCTTCTTTTTCAATATTTCAATGTGTTTAACAAAACTAAAATATTAATGTTCATTTAAATAATATCGTTCTATCGAAATCTTGTTCACAGTTAAATAATCAAACGTATATTTTGTCTGATTAATATATACGTGAATAAAGTTTATCGTATAATTGTTCAAAATAACTGACTTTAATCGGCTAGACATTATTCTTGTCATAATGATAAAGAAAAACAAATCAATAATTTCCTTGTCAACAAATCTTAATCATTTTTATTTCACATTACATAAACGAGTTTATTATTGTCTTTACATAGACGATTTATTTTTTCCTATTTGCCAACGACAAACGTTCACTTCAATCGTTTATCTAATGTATATTGGACAATATATCTCAAGAGATTTGCTAAATCTTTTGACGATTACCTGCTGCTTGAGCAATCCTAATAAAAACGAGATATGTTCACTGTCAACATATTGTAAATTCAAGAAAATCAACTTCGATCAACCACATCGGGATAATATGTGACAATATTTTAAGCTTTCTCATTGTAGTGAATATCTTGAATCCTCTGAAATCTAAAGAGTTAAAGAAAATCAAATGAAATTCACAGCAGCCTTATTGAAGAATGACTTGAACGCCCTCGAATTCCAACTGAATTACTGTTAAATTTTCAGTATTTGGATGATGGCTATTGATAGCTCGTTCCTAAATAAAGTATTATTTAGAATTTTTCATCGCAGATCATAAGATTATTGTTTTCTAGTATTATTCTAATTTCGTTGAACTACATTACACTTAAAAGAGCGTTCATGAGGACACTAAGTATATGAGGCACTCGATAAAAATTTTGTTTTTTGCTCATTCAATACATCAATGTCTAAGACCAGCAATCCTAAAATTTTAGGTTCTAATACCCTTTCTATGAAAAGTTAGCCAATACCGATTTTTACCACTATTATACATTTTTCGGGAAAGTAAGAAAAAATACTCTATAAAAGATGCACCAGTTTGCGTCTCAGCAGATCATTGAAATTTTCGTAGTATATATCAGAAGATAGAGAATTAAAAGGTGAACAAAATAATCTATTTTGATATAAAGAATCTTTAACAACTTGAGTTTTATAAAGCCCCTATGAGTCATAGGGGCCATTTTGATTAGTCCGAATAAACCAGTATACTTCCTGATGTGTTGCAGGATCAGAAGATCTTAGACTAAATTTTATATAAGTTGTGTAACTTTTTTTTTTTCTACAAAATGATAAAAAAATATTTAAAAAAAACCTTGTCTTCGCTGAGGAATAAAGGTTACATCGCCTAAATTTTGATAGTTTTTCAATATAAAATGAATATTTTTAGCGATTTTCATTACCATGACACAATGGCAAAGCAAAATAAATATCACAATCGGAATCAGTGTTAAAAACTGCATCTAATCATATATAGTCATCCGGTGTAATTCGGATCACTGTTCAAAAAAATTGATATATTTCAGACATTGCTCAACAATTTTACATCGGACAAAAGAGATTTTTTCACCAGCAGATAGTTCAAAGTGTTTTCTACGAGTCTATATAAAAATCTAAAAAAAAAATTAATTTTTTTATAGAATTTTTACAAAAATGGTAATAGTGCTGAGAAAATGATCCATATTACACCAGTTAGGGTAATTCGTATCAACAAGCAAAATATCCTGGGGTAATTCGGATCACTTTAGCAAAAATCAGTAAACTTAACTTTCCCATCGTTCCTATTAACTAATAATAAATTGAAATTAAATAAAAAATATATCATTCGATAGGTCAAAGTCTTTTCTATGGAATCTGACACGATCTTATCAATTCATTGAGTTATTAAAATGCAATTCTCAAAATACTGAGACCTACTGAAGAAAAAGATTTTTTTTTATTCTTCATCTGGTGTAATTCGGATCATTCGAGCAATTTTAGTTGGCGAGAACTTTGAAAACCTCTAGCATTTTTTGAGTCGGTTTTCAAGTGTTGTTTTTGAGACAAAAAATGTTCGTCTCATCTT